GGCCACTGAGAGGTGAAGTGAATAACATTGATTAGCTGGTCACAATGGCACCCGGAAGTGGGGGGGATATAATACAATGACACCTGGAAGTGGGGGGGATATAATACAAAGACACCTGGAAGTGGGGGGATATATTACAATGACACCTGGAAGTGGGAGGGATATAATACGATGACACCTAGAAGTGGGGAGGATATATTACAATGACACCTGGAAGTGGGGGGATATATTACAATAGCGCCTGGAAGTGGGGGGGATATATTACAATAGCGCCTGGAAGTGGGGGGATATATCACAATGGCACCTGGAAGTGGGGGGATATATTACAATAGCGCCTGGAAGTGGGGGGGATATATTACAATAGCGCCTGGAAGTGGGGGGGATATATTACAATAGCGCCTGGAAGTGGGGGGGATATATTACAATAGCGCCTGGAAGTGGGGGGGATATATTACAATAGCGCCTGGAAGTGGGGGGGATATATTACAATAGCGCCTGGAAGTGGGGGGGATATATTACAATAGCGCCTGGAAGTGGGGGGGATATATTACAATAGCGCCTGGAAGTGGGGGGGATATATTACAATAGCGCCTGGAAGTGGGGGGGATATATTACAATAGCGCCTGGAAGTGGGGGGGATATATTACAATAGCGCCTGGAAGTGGGGGGATATATCACAATGGCACCTGGAAGTGGGGGGATATAATACAATGGCACCTCGAAGTGGGGGGGATATATTACAATGGAACCTGGAAGTGGGAGGGATATAATACAATGGAACCTGGAAGTGGGGAGGATATATTACAATAGCGCCTGGAAGTAAAGTGAACATTTTGTACTTGAAGTTGATGTGTTGGAAGCAGAAAAAAATTGACAAGTGTAAGAATTTAAAGGGACTTTGACAAGGGCCAAATTGTGATGTCTAGACTACTGGGTAAGAGCAATTTAGAAACTGCAACTCTTATGGGATGTTGCCGGTCTGCAGTGGTCAGGACTGACCAAAAGTTGTCCAAGAAAAGAAAATCGGTGAACCGCTGAAAGGGTCATGGGCGGCCAAAGCTCATTGAAGAACGTGGGGAGCGATGGCTGGCCTGTGTCGTCTGATCCCAAAAAAGAGCTACTGGAGCTCAACTGGCAGAAAAAGGTAATGCTGGTTCTGATAGAAAGATGTCTGAACACACTGAGCATCGCAGTATCATGCTTATGGGGCTGTGGAGCCGCAGAACCTACAATGGGCACGTGAGCATCAGAACTGGACCACGGAGCAATGGAAGAAGGTGGCCTGGTCTGATGAGTCACGTTTTCTTTTACATCATGTGGATGGCTGGGTGCACATACCTGAGGAAGAGATGGCACCAGGATGCACTATGGGAAGAAGACAAGCCGGCGGAGGCCTTGTGATGCTTTGGGCACTGTCTTGCCGGGAAACCTCGGGTCCTGCCATTCATGTGGATGTTACTTTCACACGTAGCACCGACCTAAACATTGTTTAGGTCGGTGCTACGTGCAAACAAACAAGCGGCTTCCCCACACTACATTTAGTCCTGCCTTCCCAAAGCAGGACTAAATGTAGAAGGCAACATACTGCCCGGCGCCCGGAACATAAAGTCAGGGGATTCCACACCGCTGCCGCCCCTCTGCGCCCTGCCGCCCCGAGGCCTGGCCTCGGTGGCCTTGTGGGGAATCCGGGCCTGATCACCACCATCACCTTCCTGCCTATACTATGAGGGTTAAATGAAGGTTGTAACACTGACCTGATCTTTGGATGCCTCGGTGCTCTGCCCTTCTCTACAACGCCCCAGGCTATGTGCGGGCCCTCGACATCCTCATACACAGTAAAGGGCTATGGGTCCGGCTGGAGTGCCTTGGAGAAGAGGCTTCTGGGACTGGTCGCACAGCGTGATGGGAGTCTGCCAGAATGAGGACTATGGTAAGTATTACAGCAAGTTCCTCTACTCCTAAACCCGACGAGCATTTAACCCTTAATGTGTTTTTTTTTCTTCTTTGTTCCATCTCAGTGCTGCTCATCCCCTGCAGCCTCTTTCTGTCTTTTCATGCACTCCAGCGATGGCCGCCTGACATTTCTTAGTGAGGGTTTCCCGATGGTGACAACAGTGGATCATGCCTGCGTAATGTGTGTTGTAGACAGAGAGCGTTGTCACCCTGTACCAGGGGAAGTGCCCGAAGAAGACTGACTGAAGAAAGACCGTCATGGCAGGATCACCAGGGATTGTGTTAATGAAAGCGAAAGCCGAAATGAACACGTTAGGTGAGGGGTAGGCAACCTTGGTTTTCCAGCGGTGCTGAAAAAGCAAATCCCATCATGCCTCTGCCTCTGGCAGTCATGCCTTTAGGGCCCAGTCACACCACAAAGTGTGTGTTCCAGAGCGTTTGGCTTCTGGAACGCACTGGAACGCAAGCCGGCCGCCTCCCTGGGTTCAGGGGCGTAGCGTTGCATTGAACTCAATGGCACCGCAGCCAAGCCAAGTGCGATCGCCGGCACATTAGTGCCTACGGAATTTTCTGCAGATCGCACTGGATCGGAATGCAGGCACTAATGTGCCACGTATTCGGGTGCGGGCGATTGCACTGCGGGCGGGCAGGGGGCTTGGCTGCACTGCCATTGACTTCAATGCACCACCAGGCCCCCTCCCGCCAAAAACAAAGTGAGCCGGCCAGGGTTGCGTTCCAGAGGCCGAACGCTCTGGGATGCACTCTTTATGGTGTGACTGGGCCCTGAGTCTTGCAATGCCTCATGGGACTTGTAGTTCCACAACAGCTGGAGGGCTGTGGTCATCTACCCCTGTGGTAGACCATATGAGACTTTCGTAATTGCGTTTACATCAGTTTCAAGGGAGATTTCCGCCTCACTTCCTGTCCTAATGACTGGTGTCTGTGATACAGGAAGTGCAGGGGAGATTACCACACAAGACAAAATGTAACAGAAGCTCTTCTTTATCCCAATGTGACACTAGTATAGCATACCTGTAGTGAGCTACTATGATAGGTCTTCATCTTTGATGGCTGCATGAGTAGCATAAGTTGTATACTTCCTGGGAACACTATGACCTGACGTTTCAGGGGCACTTCAAAGATACTCACAAGTCAGGGGTTGGGCGAATTCGGCCCTCCAGCCGTTGTGGGACTACAAGTGCCAAGACTGACAGTTACAGGCATGACTCCCAAAGACAGAGGCAGGCTGGGATTTGTAGTTAAAGCACAGCTGGAGGGAGGGAGTTGCTACAAGGATAGGGCTGTAGCTAGCCATCAATCCGCTGAAACAAGAGTTTTAATCCAGCTTCACTTTAACTAGCCCTCCTGGCAACCTATACTCACTGGTACGGTGCCTATTCCTGGCTGCTGGATGCTAATGGGAAGTCCTGTGTCAGTGGAGTTGTGCCTTGCAAAGTGCTACGGGCTCACCGTGTGACAGCATTGATCAGCCCAGCGCCGTCACATGGTGTGTCACATGCTCCTCCATATCCAGAAATGCAATGTATCTATCCCAGAGCTGGACACAGAGAAGGAAGGGTAAGGAAGGCTGCGGGGAGCGGTCTCGCAGCCCAGCAGGACCGATGATAAGGTGATACGGCTTTATTTGAGCCCCCTAGACAAAACAAGCACTTAACCCTTGCAGTGTGCAGGGGGGTAGGTAGCCCCACTGTAGGGGCACATTTTTTATTTTTTCCCCACACGGGGCTCAGTCTATCCCCCAGTTTTGGGTGCCATCCAATCCAGGAGACTGAGGACATCTTGTGGCCAAAACGGAGTACTGCGACAGGAAGGCATAGTCCACAGCAAACACTTTGTCAGATGTTCCAACCCTTCCCTGAGCTGCTAAAAATGTCCCAAAATATGGTGTCCCTGTTGGAGAAATTTCCCATCACTTCCTGTCGTGACAGGAAATCAGTAGGGACAGAGACAGCATTAAGTATGACAGGGACCCTAGACCAGGAGTAGGCAAACTGTGGCCCTCCAATTGTGGTGCAACTACAAGTCCCATGATGCACTGCAAGACTCTGACAGCCACGGGCATGACTGCCAAAGGCACAGGCATGATGGAATTTGCAGCTGGAGGGCGGGCCGGAGTTTGACCACCCCTGCCCTAAACCATTCTTTCTGTGACACCCGTTGCCCTCATTCTTGTCATGGTGTCACCAGAGTAACAATCTGCAATAACAACAGACAGATTTTAACCCTTTACTTTCTATTCCAAACTACAGTGAAAATATTTTTGATGGCGCGGGTCTTTAATGGTGAATTCCTGCCAAACAGACAGAGGAAATATGTCTATGAAAGTTGTTTTAAATGGCAAATCTGTCTGGCCGGTCCTGAGATTTACACAGCTCTGTCACACGGAACGGCCCTGTCTGGCATAGCAAAAGACCTGATTTTCCCCTAAAAGATTTAGTAAAACTTACAGGTCTTGTCCCTCCCCCAGCCTGTGACTGGAGAGTGAAATGAGAAGCAGCAGACTGATGAGCTCACCTCTCTGTTACTCTGCTCTCTCCTCCTATCAACTTGTTCCTTTTTCGCACATGACCTGATTGGCTTCTTGCACTTCTTCTCCCAGTCTGAGTTCTGCTGGGACTGAGGCTGATGCCAAGTCATATTAAGGTACACTGCTGGACTTTAAGAAAATACATATTGCTGTCTGTGTCCTGCTAGTGGGGGGAGGGGGGTATTTCGATTTTTCTGGTTATCAAATCCAAACTTTTTCAGTTGTCACAGAACAGGAGATGATGGGAAATCTCCCAATGGGGGCAAAGGTTCTGGTGACAAATGTGAAAAGTCTCCCTCACTTTGTAGAGATTTTCTCTAACTTCCTGGTGTGCCTTCAGGTTTTGGATGGACTAGGGCAGAGAAGTTCCAGCATGGCTGACAGTGACAACAATACTACAAGTGGTGACAGTGTAGTCAGCTCACACCACTTGGCTTGTGTACGTTGAGGGTGGCATGGGCGTGGCCAGCGCGCTGTCACTCCCTTCAGGGGGGCGGGCTGAGCGTTGGTCACGGGGTCAGCAGCTGTCCGCTCACCGCGCAGTCTCATGTCCCGTGACGTCATCATGAGGCTACTGTACGGAAGTGGACCCGGTAACGGGGCATGTGACTCCTTCCCTGTACGAGCATGAGGGCGGAGCCGGGGAAGCACGGTAATACGGGAGGACCGCGGGGATAGAGAAGCTGGTTGTGTATTGTAAATAGGCTGGGGGGGTTTCTGACAGCCAAACTCGGGACTGTCCCCGTAATCTGCCCAGATGATACCCGAGGGGGTGGTGAGAAGGCAGAAGCCTGTCCGAGGAGAGTGTGTGCCCCACACGAAAATACAGGGTGACCTGGTTTTGATAGGTGACATGCCGGGTACCACTGGGTGACATATGCTGGGCACGGCAGGGTGACAGTGTAACCTGACCTTATAGGTGACATGCCAGGTACCGGGGTACCACTGGGTGACATGCTGGGCACTGCAGGGTGACAGTGTAACCTGACCTAATAGGTGACATGCCAGGTACCACTGGGTGACATGCCAGGTACCAGGGTACCACTGGGTGACATGGACAAGTACTGGAATACTACATGGTGACATTTGCAGGGTGACAGGGTAACCTGGTCCTAATAGGAGACAAGCCAGGTACCAGGGTACCACTGGGAGACGTGATAAGTACTGGAATACTACATGGTGACATATGCTGGGAATTGCAGGGTGACAGGGTAACCTGTCCTAGTAGGAGACAAGCCAGGTACCAGGGTACCACTGGGTGATGTGATAAGTACTGGAATACTACATGGTGACATATGCTGGGAATTGCAGGGTGACAGGGTAACCTGGTCCTAATAGGTGACATGCCAGGTACCGGGGTACCACTGGGTGACATATGCTGGGCACTGCAGGGTGACAGGGTAACCTGGTCCTAATAGGGGACATGCCAGGTACCAGGGTACCACTGGGAGACATGCCAGGTACCAGGGTACCACTGGGTGACATGCCAAGTACTGGAATACTACATGGTGACATATGCTGGGTATTGCAGGGTGACAGGGTAACCTGGTTCTAATAGGCGACATGCCAGATACCAGGGTACTACCCAGTGATACATTGGGCACCTGATCCTAATAGATGGCACATGCCAGGTACCAGAGTACTACAGGATGACATGCCAGGTACCAGAGTACTACATGACAACATTTGCCGGGCACTAGAGGGTGAGATATGGCGGGTACTGAGGCTCTGCAGGGTGACATGTGGTGGGTACCAGAACATTGCAGGGTGACACATGCCAGGTACAGGGGTTCTGCAGGGTGACATGTACTGGGCATCATAGCACTAAAGGGTGACATATATTGGAAATCGGAATACTACAGGATGACATGGCAGGAATTCCGGGGCTACATGGTGTAAAAGGTATTGGGTGATAAAGGGTATCAACCCTGGCAATTTTTGTTTGCTGTTTGTGGTCCACTTAGCAGATTTTCCATCACTTCCTGTCTCTATAAACAACAGGAAGTGAAAGATGATCTCTCTAAAGTAAGTAATCTCCTCTCAGACAGTTGTCACTATATCAAGTGTCCCCACTGGGAGATTTCTCCTCTATTCCAGTCCTGGTGACAACTGAAAAATGTTGGACTTCCCCTCACTTTCTAGCCACCAGGACTAGGGGAGTAAGTGAGTAGAGTCCCTATCAGGGGCACAGACAGAAATAAAAACTTGACAACGGGTTTGAACCCTTCCCTACTTTACCAAAAACTAAAAAAGAAAACCATTTGGTTTTGTTGCTCATGTTGTTTCCTGTGTCATCAGGCAGTGATTTCCGCCGGCGCCGTAAGCTCACCGACATCCAGAAAGCCCTCACCAAGGACCCCACCGATGTGGCCACCCTGCGGAGGATGGCGATCAGCGAGGGAGGGCTGCTCACAGACGAGATCCGCTGCCAGGTCTGGCCCAAACTCCTGAATGTCAATACGGACGAGCTTCCCCCGCCCCCAGGTACGCCAGCGTCACTTTAGCGTCAAGCCCTTCTTTTACTGTGTATGTGGTACGTTGCTGATTGTCATATAACGTGTACAGGGCCTGAGCTGCGGGTCAACAATAAAGATTACGAGCAAGTCCTGCTAGATGTCAGGCGCTCGCTGCGACGGTTCCCTCCAGGTAAAATGTGCGGGTGATTGATGGGGTCACAGGGAGTGAATGTGTACAACGGGGATGGGGCAGTCTCAGTCCTCCATGCCGGCTACCGATAGTACCGTAATCTCTATGACTGTCAGGAGACGGGGAGACCTGTCGGTCCACACTCGCTGTAAAGCAGACATCCATTCACCTTGGTCTCATGCAGGCATACTTCTCAGTCCTGCAAATGGTTTCTATCCCCATAGTTATCACTGCTGGCTCCCAACAGGAGGGCTACGCAGCACGTGCAGCCCTATCTGATCCATGACTTTAGATCCAGGCATGTGTGCCAGTAAGCACAAGCAGGCCCATGACCTCCAAAGCAGCTCAGCAGTACAGTATGGTCAAAGGACACACCCCCAGCCTGCTGATTGGACAGAAAAAGAGCAGCATCACATTGATAAGGTCATCCCTCTGCCCCTGTACGCAGGTCAGTGCTGCAAAGCAATAGAGCTCTGAGTGTCTCACAGTCCCGACTACTCTGCCAGCCTCAACCGCGAGCCCCGACTACTCTGCCAGCCGCGAGCCCCGACTACTCTGCCAGCCTCAAGTCCTGACTACATTCCCAGTCTAGAGTACTCTCCCAGTCTTGAGCCCTGACTACTCTCCCAGTCCTGACTACGGTCCCCGTCCTGATCACTCTCCCAGACTTGAGCCCCGACTACTCTCCCAGTCTTGAGCCCCGACTACTCTCCCAGTCTTGAGCCCCGACTACTCTCCCAGTCTTGAGCTCCGCCTACTCTCCCAGTCTTGAGCACTCCCAGTCCTGACTACTCTCCCAGTCTTGAGCCCCGACTACTCTCCCAGTCTTGAGCTCCGACTACTCTCCCAGTCTTGAGCTCCGACTACTCTCCCAGTCTTGAGCCCCGACTACTCTCCCAGTCCTGACTACTCTCCCAGTCTTGAGCCCCGACTACTCTCCCAGTCTTGAGCCCTGACTACTCTCCCAGTCTTGAGCTCCGACTACTCTCCCCGTCTTGAGCCCCGACTACTCTCCCAGTCCTGACTACTCTCCCAGTCTTGAGCCCCGACTACTCTCCCAGTCTTGACTACTGTCCCAGTCTTGAGCCCTGACTACTTTCCCAGTCTTGAGCCCTGACTACTTTCCCAGTCTTGACTACTGTCCCAGTCTTGAGTCGTGAGTAGTCTCCCAGTCTGGGTTGGCAACAAGTTGAGAGGGACACGGGTGCACTGTAGCCATGTCCTGTAAAGATAAACTCATTTCGAGTCTTCATATTCAATTTTGGTGGGAGCATGCCATTTAAGAAGTGACGGAAGCTGCCTCATCCGTGTTGTATGTCTTGGTGGTGGGATTGGTGACTGTTGGGTGAGGATTGTGTTTCTCTGTCTGCTGTCAATCATGGGGTACTCTGTCCGGTTTTGCCTCTCAGGAATGCCTCTAAAGGAACGGGAAGATTTGCAGGAGCAACTGATTGACATCATCCTTCAGGTTTTGGCTCGAAACTCCCAATTGCACTATTACCAGGGATATCACGACATTGTAGTCACTTTCCTGCTGGTGGTGGGTGGGCCGCTGGCCACTCTGCTGGTGGATAAACTGTCCACACATCACCTAAGGTGGGTTTGTGTGCACCCTCTCAGCCTGCATTTCAATACCCATATCCTGTTTGTAGTCACTCACCAATCATGCAGGTGAGATAGACAAATTTTAGAGGTTGTGGAGCTGCAAATTTCTAGCATGCTGGGCTGATCTCGGGCTCTCGGGACTTGTAGTTCCACAAAAGATGTCAGCTGTGTAAATGCTTTATCAAACATCCAGCAGCATCTTGCAAAACGACCTGCTTTCTGTATCATTGGTACCTCAGTGATGTCAATGGTGGATGTGATAACTAAACATTCTCATTGTACTAATATGGTGTAAAAGGCATGAAGCATCTGATTGGTCCTCCTAACTCCGTTGTCATTAACACCTTTCTCATTGTTGTATAAATGTAGAAAGAGCTCCTTTAGTCTTTGTAGATGGGTATGTAGCCTGTTTGCCTCCTGTGATGCATAACAAGCTTGGTAGACTGACATCTGTATTCTAATAGGGACTTCATGGATCCTAGTATGGACAACACCAAACACATTCTCAATTACCTGATGCCTATTATAGAGCAGGTGAACCCAATGCTGCACGACTTCATGCAAAGGTGAGTGCCCCCGGAGTGACATCCCTCTCCGTTCATCATCCGTGTACGTTTAATGTTGCTCACCCCGTCTTCTGTTCCTGGCAGGGCGGAGGTAGGCACCATATTTGCCCTGAGCTGGCTCATCACCTGGTTTGGGCACGTCCTGTCTGATTTCAGGCATGTGGTGAGGTTGTATGACTTCTTCCTGGCGTGTCACCCGCTCATGCCCATCTACTTTGCTGCTGTGGTAAGGATTTACTGTAATCTTGAGGAGGCCTCAGTGCTGCTGCTATCTAGCTCAGATGTTGGTTGATTACTGCTTCAGTTTTTGTCAGTCCGCCAAGAAATTAGAATGAGATTTTGGAGGGTGGGATCACCTACTAGTCTATCATAGCTGCTATGTAGTTGGATCTCTCAAAGCTCATCACCTGATGGATTTCTATATCATTGGAAATGCAGCTTGAGTATTCTGAACCTGGTCTGGGAGACTGGATGGTTGAGGAGGCTTCTCTTGCACCTCGTGTCTTATGGCCTTTGAGGATGGTGACAGAGGCCAGGCAGACACCGAGTGGCACGAGTGCCAGTGTCTATGAAACCGTGCAAGTGAAGGGTAATCCGGAAATCAAGGTCGAGGCAAGCCAAGGTCAAAATCCAAGAGGTCAGATGCAGTACCGAAGGAAGAGGCAGAAGAGTAGTCAAAAACAATCCGGGGTCAAAAAGGCAGGCAGCGATCAAGGCAGGTAGATGAAGCAGGAACGGGTCAAAATCCAGGCAATCGGCAAGCTAATATTCAAGACAGGAAACAGGAGACACAACAGAGACAGGAGCTGATAACACAATCCAGCAAGTAAGTGACAGGCAGGTTCGGTTTAAATAGGGAAGTGAACTAATCAAATGGGCCACTTCCTGTGCGCCTTTGGCGCGCTTTTCTTAGAACACGCTCCATCTGCGCGTCACTTCCGGTGTGCCATACTGCGCGTCTTTCTATGGGAAATGGTCGTTGTGCGCATGCGCGTGTTCGTCTTATTAGCGGCACTTGGCGCATGCGCGGAACGGGCATGTTGCTTACATTGAGACTCTTCCTGTTGCAGCATAACGGATGACATTCCATGGTGCAAGAGGAAGAACCAGGAATTGGGTTCCACTGTGGCATAGTTGCCTGATTCCACTAGCATCCACTTTAAGCTGTTCTCCTTTTTGGAGAACTGACCCTTTAAAGCAAACCTAAATGGGAAAAACAGAACTCCCAGTTCCTTTTATGTTGGGCCCTTTTTGCAATTTGATTCCATGAACTGTTAGTCCTCTGGTATACAAACCTAAAAGCAGCTTCTTTGGTCATGAGCATGGCCCCATCACGACCTTAAAGCATGCAGTGATACCTTTAAAGGAGAACTATGAGGTGAGTGCTTTTCACTCATCCTCATAGTTCTAGCCGACCTGTGACAATGAAACTGCTCAGTATATCGGGAAGTGAGCGAACACATACCTCCGTTCGCTCGCTTCTCGATCCTGTGCCGGCACAGAGCCGTGACGGGAGGGACTGGATTCCCCGCTCCGATCCTCCAGCGCTGACTGGCTGAACGGACGGGGGAGGGTACAGCTGGCTCTGCCTCTAGATAGGCAAAGCCAGCTGTCACTCACGCAGCTGGGTGGATCCAGACATAACTGTCGGGATCCGTTTCAGCTGAATCGTCTCAGTATACCGCGAGCTGCAGGGAGGACGCTAGTTTGTGTCCTCCCGTTACCCTTCGGAGAACTATGGGGAAAAGCCCTAACCCCATAGTTCTCCGTTAAAGTTGCCCTTTCAACCCTCTCTTTAAGATATTAGTATAGCAGGACATCGCCACTTTGGGGCACTGAGTTGGAAAATGGACCTGGCATGCAGACATTTGGAGGTTCCAGCAGAGAAAATGATCAGTTGCTTTGACCAACACAAGTAGTTCTTTGTGGCTTGTTGACTAAAAATGTCTCCTGTGTCATTTGCTGCAGATTGTGCTGCATAGAGAGGAAGAGGTACTAGAGTGCGATTGTGACATGGCCTCAGTACACCACCTGTTGTCACAGATTCCACAAGATCTGCCCTACGAGACCCTCATCAGCCGAGCCGGTGACCTCTTTGTTCAATTCCCACCTTCTGAGCTGTCTAGGGAAGCTGCCCAGCAGCACCAAGCTGAGAGGTAAGTTGAGTAAACCATCTTTCTTCTTGTTGGTGGAGGGTGTAAAAGTGGGGAAGCCAACTTCCTTCCTGTTGGTGGATGTCGTAAAAGTGGGGAGGCCATCTTCCTTCCTTTTGGTGGATGGTGTAGAATCGGGGAAGCCATCTTCCTTCCTGGTGGTGGATAGTGTAGAAATGGGGAAGCCATCTTCCTTCCTGGTGGTGCATGGTGTACAGGTGAGAAAGCAATTTTCCTTCCTGATGGTGTAAAAGTGGGGAAGCCATTTTCCTTCCTGTTGGTGGATGGTGTACAGGTGGGTAAGTAATTTTCCTTCCTGTTGGTGGATGGTGTACAGGTGGGTAAGTAATTTTCCTTCCTGTTGGTGGATGGTGTACAGGTGGGTAAGTAATTTTCCTTCCTGTTGGTGGATGGTGTACAGGTGGGGAAGTAATTTTCCTTCCTTGTGGTGGATGGTGTAAAAGTGGGGAAGCCATCTTCCTTCCTGGTGGTGGATGGTGTATAAGTGGGGAAGCCATCTTCCTTCCTGGTGGTGGATGGTGTATAAGTGGGGAAGCCATCTTCCTTCCTGGTGGTGGATGGTGTAAAAGTGGGGAAGCCATCTTCCTTCCTGGTGGTGGATGGTGTATAAGTGGGGAAGCCATCTTCCTTCCTGGTGGTGGATGGTGTAAAAGTGGGGAAGCCATCTTCCTTCCTGGTGGTGGATGGTGTAAAAGTGGGGAAGCCATCTTCCTTCCTGGTGGTGGATGGCGTACACAAAGGGGGGAAGCAATTTTTCTTCCTGTTGATGGATGGTGTAGAGGTGGGGAGGTAATTTTCCTTCCTGTTGATGGATGGTGTAGAGGTGGGGAGGTAATTTTCCTTCCTGTTGATGGATGGTGTAGAGGTAATTTTCCTTCCTGTTGATGGATGGTGTAAAAGTGGGGAAGCCATCTCTCACAAAACTAGGGAGAGGATTAGAATAGCGAGATCTCCCCACTGTAGAACCCATGTTCCAGCCCTTTTTGGTATCTATTCCTGCTTATACATTCGAGGTGTTCCCCCATCTCTACCATATGTACAGTATGTGAGCACTAAAGAGTAGAAAAGCCTCCCCGTGCCAGCAGCTGCGCGTGGGACCCTCGATCTCTCTTCAGAAGTCTGGCACGTCCCCTACTGAGTCAGACTAGTATCTCTGCAATCAGCAAAGTTCATGCTCCCTACTGGTACTACAGCTCTGGCTCTGACCCTGCAGGAGGCATATCAGATGTCTGCAAAGAGAACATGGCTTCCACCCAGAGGGCAATGGTGACACTCTGCAGCATGCTGGCAGGGCACAGGCTTTTCTACGATGTGGCTAATTGTTTCAAAAGAAATACTTTGCACCTGGAATATATTCAGCTTATTTATACTGAAAGTTCATTTGGGCTTTAACATGTTGTTTGGCTTAGTACTTCTAACCTGCATCTATCTCCCTCCAGGACTGCAGTCTCCACCTTTAAAGACTTTGAGCTGGCATCCACACAGCAGCGGCCAGATATGGTCCTTCGCCGACGTTTTAGAGACTCTGTCCGTCCAGAGCACGCAGCCAAGTCCGTCCTTACCAAACCCCGCACTAACAGACTGGTGAAGCTGGCGGTCATGGGGCTGACGGTGGCTCTGGGGGCCGCAGCGTTGGCGGTGGTAAAGAGCGCCCTGGAGTGGGCACCCAAATTTGAACTGCAGATTTTCCCATGACAGGACCTCTTCCATCATCGCACAGGGGTGGATGAAAGTGCCTTTGTCCCCTCTAGTTCTTCGTTTTCATGCGGTCTGCTGAACATCACATGTCACCATTTGCCACTATAAACTCTTGACGTGGAAATCCTAGTGCTTGTCTTACCTAAACTGATACAAGGTTCAACACAGGCACGGTTCTACACTTCCAGTGCGGGACAGAGAAGGTTGTCACATTATTAACCTGTGTATATCTGTACAGAATTCTGATTCACTTTATGATAAATATTTAACACCATCCACTAAGGTTTCCTTATTGAGCCTCCCCACAAAATTTAGCTACCACTTCCACTATTACTTTGGTAATTTTACAATATTTTACATTCACTCTTATGTCAGTTATAGAGTCTCTCTGCCCTGAACCGTTATTTCGGTTTATAGTGGATGCTGGAGTGTTAAACTATAAAGTTTCTTCTGTCTCTCAGGGATTATTGGTAAGATCCCTGTGTTGAGGTTTCCGGGTCTGTACACCTGCTGTGCCCATTATGAGGAGCTCCCACCATCCCTGTACTGAGTTCCCGGGTCTGTCCACCTGCTGTGCCCATTATGAGGAGCTCCCACCATCCCTGTACTGAGTTCCCGGGTCTGTCCACCTGCTGTGCCCATTATGAGGAGCTCCCACCATCCCTGTACTGAGTTCCCGGGTCTGTCCACCTGCTGTGCCCATTATGAGGAGCTCCCACCATCCCTGTACTGAGTTCCCGGGTCTGTCCACCTGCTGTGCCCATTATGAGGAGCTCCCACCATCCCTGTACTGAGTTCCCGGGTCTGTCCACCTGCTGTGCCCATTATGAGGAGCTCCCACCATCCCTGTACTGAGTTCCCGGGTCTGTCCACCTGCTGTGCCCATTATGAGGAGCTCCCACCATCCCTGTACTGAGTTCCCGGGTCTGTCCACCTGCTGTGCCCATTATGAGGAGCTCCCACCATCCCTGTACTGAGTTCCCGGGTCTGTCCACCTGCTGTGCCCATTGTGAGGAGCTCCCACCATCCCTGTACTGGGTTCCTGGGTCTGTACACCTGCTGTGCCCATTATGAGGAGCTCCCACCATCCCTGTGCTGTGTTCCCGGATCTGTACACCTGCTGTGCCCATTATGAGGAGCTCTCCCCATCTCTGTGCTGAGTTCCCGGATCTGTACACCTGCTGCGCCCATTATGAGGGGCTCCGCCCATCCCTGTGCTGTGTTCCCGGATCTGTACACCTGCTGCGCCCATTATGAGGGGCTCCGCCCATCCCTGTGCTGTGTTCCCGGATCTGTACACCTGCTGCGCCCATTATGAGGGGCTCCGCCCATCCCTGTGCTGTGTTCCCGGATCTGTACACCTGCTGCGCCCATTATGAGGGGCTCCGCCCATCCCTGTGCTGTGTTCCCGGATCTGTACACCTGCTGCGCCCATTATGAGGGGCTCCCACCATCCCTGTGCTGAGTTCCCGGGTCTGTACACCTGCTGTGCCCATTATGAGTGGTTGTCAGGCAGAAGGGCGATATGGTCAGCTAAACATGAAGTGACCGCAGTGTAAAAGTATGCCAGTGAAAGGAGCTGGTACAGATCCAGCAACTATGGAGATATTGCAAGGAAATGAGTGGATCACTCAGACAAACAGACTATTAAACTTGATAAAATGACTCCTCTATACAATAATTCTATGTAACTGACCACACTACAACCCTAATGTCATTCCAGAAAGAAAAAAAGTCCCATCTGTGGGAAAACAAAACCAATTACAAACCACAAAAACAAAACATTTTTGTGTGGAGGAATAAGATTCTTAGTGGAAGTTAATAGAGAACAGGTGATGTTCTGCAGACTGGGGTGTGGGAATTGGGATCACTGTCGTCCGGTCATTCAGTAATGAGTTCACCTGTGATTGAGTATTGGAGAGCATCTGTTGCTGGTGAGAATTGCTATTCAAGGTAGGAATACTTGTCTGTTTCCTTGTGTCAAAAGGTGCCATCGGCCATACACCCGCCGATTATCGTACCATAGTTACGGGTGATCCCGCGATCGTACTATAATCGGCAGGTGTATGGGCAGCGTGCGACCGCATTTATTGTACCCGCTGAAAGTCGTACGATTTTTGGCGGGTTGGTGTGCTCGGGAGACGAATCCCGCACGGGCCGGTGTGCGTAAGCGCACACTGCCTGCTCAGCATTGCAATCATCGGCAAGCCCTCCCCTCAGCGGGGAGCGCTTGCGATGATCGCTAGTACAATCTGCCTGTCCAAGATGGGCAGATCGTACGAAATTTTAATGACCTTACAACCATCGCACAACGAAAGTCGTTTATGGCCAGCTAAAGAATTGAACCTGCAGTGGAAATAGAAGGTTTGTACAACTATTAAGCTGCCCATACACCTGACGATTATTGTACGATAATCGGCTTACGGTACGGTCGCACAATTTTTGTTTTACAAGCATGCTAGAAAACCCGCGATAGCAAGATGAAAGCCGCACGGCCCGAGGTGCGCAAGCGCACACTGCCCGCTCACCATTGCAATCATCTGCAAGCCCTCCCCTCAGCGTGGAGGATTTGCGATGATCGCAAGTACGATCTGCCCGTCCATGATGGGCAGGTCGTACAAAGTTTTAATCAACTTACAACAATCGCACAACGAAAGTCATGCGGTGGTTGTAAGGTGTATGGCCACCTTTAGGCCCCATTCACACCAGGGCGGTTCCGGATCAGCGAAGTTCCCGCGCTGATTTGAAAAGGGCTGTTTTGGGAGTTTTGTAATTGCGTTTCAGCACTGAAACGCAATTAAAAATGCCCAAAACCGTGCTGAACAGTTCCATTGAAAGCTGTATGTAAACTGCACTGATCAGCGCGCAAAAAAGGGTCAGGGAGCAATCCGGGCAGGGGAAGGCTCGGATCGCGCGGGCCCGGTCGGTCGCATGAACGGTCCCCATTGCAATGTAGGGGATCGTTCATGTCAGCGGATCCGCCCCGGTGTGAATGGAGCGTGAGGGGCCCCAATAGTAAGCAATACTTAGATGAACTCCGTCTTTTCTCTCTCCCTTCCTATCTCTCTTGTTCCTCTCTTCCCCTTCCCGACTCTACTCTCTCTCCTTCTACTTTACTTCCCTTAATAAGCAGCTTTCCTCTTTTCTAAATGCATGAAACAATTCGATATGGTAACGTAACTGTATGCAAGGACTTTTTATGAAAAGGATGTTGATGTCCAGCGCACACTTATTTACCAGCAATGCGCACTTCTGTATTCAGCCCGTTCCATGAACACTTTTTCAAGTATTTATTAAAGCCGAACTATAATCGCCTCCCCTCCAGCGATGAGATGTCTGCTATCTCCCTCACCGGCCACTGACATCTTTGTCCAGTCTTCGGCAATGAATTATAAATAAGTGAAATTGCTCCCTTCGCCGCTCAGTTGCAATAACATCTGTTCTCAAAATCTGTTAGTCCCCCCCCCAGGCGTATAGAACCTAGGGACCGTAGAGATAACAAAGCTCTTGAGTTGTAGACATCTAAATATCACCGCTGTAAGAAGCTCATACTTTCTCTGCATGACTTCAAAGGAGCAAATACTCGAAGAGGGCAAAAAATCATATAAGCCTCACTCGGTCCACTGTTGGAACCTTTTGGGTTCCCTAAAACCTGGCAAAAACAATGGATTTCTTACCAAAGTTGCCAGCGGAGAATATACTGACATCCGTTTTTCTGATGTTTTAATAAATTGGGTTCCCTATATGTTTAGGCCAAAGGAGATTAGCAGCCGCGATTGGATGTGCTTCTGCTTTGATGCCAACCCGCAACGGTGGCCCAGAGGCTATGAAGTATGAAAATAGGGGCGCCATCTGTGTAGCATGATAGAAATTTACTATATTATTATTATACAGGATTTATACACTGAGTGGCCAGTTTATTATGACCGCCTGACGTTTGTAGGTAAATTAGCTATAATTTGGCGCTGAAGTTGCTAGAGGGCCAGACCATTATAAATAGGGAAGCAGGTTGGTTACCACGACAGTAGAAGTGATTTGTTTCTGAAGATACGGGGAAACAACGCGATGTAACAGCCTTTGAACGTGGGAAGATTGTTGGCGCTCGGAGCCATGGAGCGAGTATCAGCAAAACAGCAGAATTCGTTAAATGTTCAAGAGCAGCTGTTGTTAAAGTGTTTAAAGACCGGACTGTCAAGTATAATGTAAAAAAAAACGTTTTTTTCTCAAAATTTTCAGTAATTTCTCCTGAATATAGTAAAAAATAAAACCCGCAGTGGTGATTAAATACCACCAAAAGAAAGCTCTATCTGTCCCCAAAAAATGGTATAAAATTAATTTCAGTACAGCGTTGCGTGACGGAATAAACGTCAGTCAAAGTACCGCAGCGCTGAACACTGAAAAATGGCCTGGCCAGGTAGGGGATCTAAACACCTGGTCTTCAAGCAGTTAAAGGGATCCCCTAAAGGCCGTCAGAGTGGGAGACAGATGGACAGGTTGGGGTAAAGAGGTAATGGTGCTAGTGCCAAGGTGAATACCAAAGGTGACATAGGGCACCGTTGGCACGTCCCTCTGACAATTGAAAAACCAGAGGAGGGGAAGCTGGCATAGTGTATATATGCCCTAGGTTCTGCAGGTTCTGTATATAAAACCCCCAAATATGTATGGCCATGATATTGTATGAAAAGCTGCCTGTATATGTAACAACAATAACATAGATGGGATTTTACAATGCTGGGCTAGATGGCCTGAACGCAATTGTTGACGTACACTATAAACTGCCTGCCTCTTGGGGATAAATCCCACTGGATCCTTACCTATTAATGTCCCTATAACCTTATTCAGTCTTGCTGACAATACTTTAGCATGTACTGTACGTCGATAGTAAGCGATGAGACTGGACTATAATTAGATCAATTAGTATGATCTGTTTGGGCAGGGCCATCCCTATGAGGTAGCCTGAGGATGTGTCCTTAGGCGGCATCTCTTTGGGTCTTGTAGGGAAAGCCGCAGGCAATGTTTGCAGTATGCCTGGAACCCGAATTGGGGCCCAGAACAGGGAGCTGTAAGAGCCATCCACATCTCTCCACCCAGCTCAGGAGCTTGGCGTGACGACGGTTAGAGCATACAGCCGAGCTTCTGCCAACCAATGAAATCACTGGTTGCTAAGACCCGAGGGGGGAGATGCGTAAGGGCCACACACATCTCCCCACCCAGCTCCTAGCAACCTGGGACGCTCTTGCCAGTGTCCCGCCGAGACATCACTGGTTGCCAGGA